CCCCCCCCCCCCCCCCAAAAACACAGTGCTGTTTCATGGCAGCTTTACCTTACTGAAAGTTTATTGCTTTTTTTTCAACCCATGATTTCAGCTATTAGAAAAAATAAGGTAAAGCTGAAAAGGGCCTCCAAAAACAAGGAAAACTGTGATCTGAGTTCTGTCTTGATGCTAGTGCTTCTTTGCTAGTAACACTCTTATCCTTTGGTTTCTTAGCAGTAGAAGATAGGAAGTTGTTTATTGGAATGATATCCAAGAAGTGCAATGAAAATGATATCCGAGTGATGTTCTCCTCCTTTGGGCAGATTGAAGAATGCAGAATATTACGGGGCCCAGATGGTCTGAGCCGAGGTAAGCACAAAGCTTTTCTTGACAGTTCAAAATTCTCCTCTGGATGCTGCCTTTTGCAGCCCAAGGTGGCATTTCAGCTGTTCCAGTAAGCATTTTCATTTCTTATTCATCTCAGTAATTGTGGATGTAGTGAGTGACTTGATTGCTTTTTTTTTTTTTTTTTCTTTCCTTTCCCCAGGTTGTGCATTTGTGACTTTTACAACAAGAGCCATGGCACAAACAGCAATCAAAGCAATGCACCAAGCACAAACCATGGAGGTAAAACAAGTTAGTGAGTGGGAGGAAAAGATGTAATGGGTCAGGCAGTCACTATGGAGTTTGGGAGACTAGGGAGCAGAGAGAAGGATAAGTGCAGTGTGAGTCCCTCTACAAGTACTGCTCCTGAAACCATTGTGTTTGCTCTGCTCCTGTTTTCAGAGCTCAAGATAGAAACTTGATCTGCAGAGAAAATATAAAAATACAAATAAGCATTAAAAGTAAAGAAAAGTTTTGAACCTTTAAGGAAATTAGTGGTGTTTGAATAGATGAAAAGATAATATATATTGTTTGAATATATGAAAAGGGAAAATAATGCTTCCAGTGACTGGGTCTTAATGCAGCATTTCTGTGACTGCTGGGGGACAGCAAGGCTGTAACTGTGTAAATTATTATTTGCAGGGTTGCTCTTCTCCCATTGTGGTAAAATTTGCAGACACGCAAAAGGACAAAGAGCAGAAACGAATTGCTCAGCAACTCCAGCAACAAATGCAACAGATCAGTGCTGCCTCTGTATGGGGAAACCTGGCTGGTCTGAACACACTCGGACCCCAATACTTAGCAGTGAGTTTCTGACTTTGATTCTTTTCATCTGTTTAGGGATTATGATGTCTGATTGTCGTATAATGTTCGATGTGTTCATTTCCAGAAGATTTCTGATAGATAGGTGCAGAGCTCTTAATCCCGGTTTTGTGGCTGGGGAGGCTGAATCGCAAAGAAATAAAGTTAGGTTCTAACGGTCACTCAAAATATGTCTGACAGTGAAGTTTTTAACCTCAGTCTCTGAAGCCCTATGCGCTGAAACGTTTTCCTGCCTTCTGTAGAATGGCTTTGTGCTGGGAATATTTTCCTCATATGTTGTGGCCTCCGTATTTATCCAGTAATTCTTAAACGCCCTTTCATGTCTATCTGATGACATAGTTTTTGTATTCTTCTTCCACTGTTTCTTCTCCAGCTTTTTTTTTCTCATCTTCTTCCAGTAAGACCTAGAACAGTGCTTAGTGCTGTGTAATTAGAAAAGGAGGTCAGGCGCAAGCCCCAAGCAGCTCACAGTGCACAGTAAACAAACAGGAAATACAGAGAAACTACTCTGTAGCAAAAACGACATGACAGAGGGTAGTCCGCTGTTTGTCACTGCTTTCAGTTGGTTTTGCGGGTCTCTGAAGGGGAAACTTTTCATAAACTGTTGTCTCTGGCTCACATGGATTGCCAGAGTGGCTGTGAGAACTGTTTTCATGTGACATTTACATTTGGGGAACAAAAGGAAAATTTCACCTCATTCATGCTATGATGTACTGCTAGAATGGGGGCATTCCCTCTTTCACTGGAATTTCTTTATAACAACGCCTAGTTAATGGAGAAAGGAGTAGGAAATCCCTCTAAATAGCCTCTCAGCTGAGGTTTATCATTTTCCCTCATGTGGTTGCTGTGCTCTTGTGCTTAAGGAATGTGGAGGGAATCCCCTCTCGCAATGGCTCTTTGGTTTTGGTATGGCATCTGGCAGTTTTCCTGTGCTAGCAACATCAGCTGTAAAGTCTGGCTTGAGGAAGTATGTCCTTAGCTTTGGCGCTGCTGACTGAGGTGCTTTGAAGGGGAGTTCTTGCTCACTGCTGATTCTAGTGTTTTTTTCTCTTGCTGCATTAGATACTAACTTCCCTTAGGCTAGTGCACTGATTATGCTGAGTGGCGGAAGCACTCCTTGTGCTGTTGCTTTGGCTGTGGTGTGGTGCATGGGCAGTGTATAGTCTCACTATGGTGGTACTCTGGCTGCAGTGTGTAAGGGGAATTCTCTTTATGCTTTGCTATGATGTGGTGCATGGGCAGTGGGAATTCCCTTTGTGACGGCGCTCTGGCTGTGGTGTGATGCAGTTTCTCCCAGAAGCGGAGCCAGCCCTCACTCTCACTCTTGTTTTGTTTTTTGGTGTAATGTCTAGCTTTATTTGCAGCTCCTTCAGCAGACAGCAGCTGCGTCATCTGGGAACCTGAATACATTGAGCAGCCTCCACCCCATGGGAGGTGAGTTTTTTTTCCACAAGAAGACAGATTCAGTGCCAAAGTCGAGAGGAGGAGGGTAGAGAAAGTAGTCAAAATGCTATAGACACATTAACCTCATTTGTAATAAGTAGTCCTGATTTAGCTACTCCTGTGGAATGACACTATCCTCTGCTACAAGTGTCAATGTTCCTTCTTAATCTTAGTTAATCACTGTCGCCAAGGTGAGTTGTGGCATGCTGTTAATCTCCCCTACCTCTGGTATTTAAAATTATCTTTCCTTATGGTACAGAAACATAGCTCTCTTATTTATTTTCATTCGAACAGATACAGATTTGGAGTGTTGTATTTTGAAATAAACACTAGAGCATATGTTTCAGTGATGATGGATTCTTTAGGTCTCCTGTTTTAAATTCTTTGTTCTTAAATGCCTCAAAGCTGGAAATGTGTTGCTAGGAAAGTGAATTAGTCCTTTGTTCAGGTTATTTTCTGCATTTGAGTTACATGGCAAATTCCGTGCTGTAGACTGCTCGTCAGAATATTCACCAAGTAGAGCAGGTGCAAATATTGTAAGTGAAGACATGTGAAGTAGCTTAAACTTGGATCCTTTAGGGATGCTGAGACATGGAAAAAGTTTCTGAACTGTGTCTGCAAATCAATTGTCCCTTCTGTCTGTAAAACCCATGCTGGTAACCCCATTCACCACATTCTGTAGGCTTTTCTGCAGGTAGAAAAGCTATAGTTACGGTTTTAATACTGAATACTTTAAGCTTTTAAAATTGCCTCCTAGAGGTGTATAGTAATTCAAAATACTACATGCCGTGTCTGCAAGGAGGTTAATTTAAAACTGCTATGAAAGTAATGTCTCTTGTATGTCTGACTTGTGTTTGTACACCTATCAATCAGTAACAATTAAAAGCTTTTGAAGTGTTATGTTGTTTATTATAAGAATTTTTATTTACATTTGAGATTGACTCTGACTATAGTCTCTTATGTTTAGGGTTTTTTTCTTCTTCATGTTAGACCTCTTCAGAGTTCTTAGCCCTAAGTCTCTTGCCAGAAGCAAAACATATATATATTTTTTTTTTTATCAATTTCACTAATATCCTGTTTTCTGTGTGGTGGTGGTCTGCATAGATTTCATTATGAACATGATGCTGTTTTTTTTTTCCTTGCTTCAATTGTAAAGCAAGTGGTAATAAAGGAGAAAAACAGTATAGCAGTTAATTTTTATTTTTACTACGATAAGGATGTTGGGACCTATCTAGTTGAGGTTGCATGTAAGTTTTCTGAGTTATTCTGTCTTCACTGTTTAAAGAAGATCTTAAAAATTGAGACCCCTGATGTGCATGTGTAGCAAGTTGAAATGGGAGTCTTTTATGGGCTTTGAAATAATTATTCAGAGTCTGATTCTTCACAGAAAAAGTTATAGTTTCAAAGTCCCATTAATATCTCAGCTGATCTCCTTTCTTGAAATTCATAGGAAGAAAAATAAGTAGGAAATTAGATTCCACTCTGTATCAGACTTAATAGACAAAATTTAATCTTGACCCTACTTGAAAGCAGATGGGAAAACAATGTGATGAAAAGAGGACAGGTGCAGTATACACGTGCCAAACTGCTTCAGAAAGGAAGCAAGCTGCTCTATCGTTCATTAGCTCTAACACTGGAAGAGCTTTAACCCTCTATAGCACAATAAAAGCAACAAACCTTTTCGGTTTTAACTTCATGGTGTTCTTTGTGTTACAGTAGCACCTTGAGAATCTAAATAGTCATGATCCTCTTGTTTTAGGCACTAAGTATGGATAAAGAAATGGATCCTGCCACAAGGAGAAAATAATTTTAAAAGATAACAAGTGAAGGATGCTAAAGGTAGTAGAAGTTATTAAGAAGATAGATGGTTTATATTGCATTGGATTGTTGTCCATTTACATTTTCCTATTGTCTGTTTACCTAGTTAAATTACAAACTGAGATTTGAATCACCTGAGAGGTGTGCTTTGTTACCAAGTACTGAGCATCCAGAAGATCTACCTAGGACATTTGGTGGTTGTTACATTAATGGTGATAAACGTAGTTTTGGATTGAATTTT